TGATCATACTTTTTGTTTCATATTGGACTTCTCTCGAAAAATGGCTGCTTAAATAAAATATGTAAATTTGATGCATGTGTTTACCTATAACAAATCAATCAAAACTTAACTACCGGGAACAATAACCCTCCAATTAATAATTAGTTTTCCGTCTATGGAAAAGAGCAAAAAACAACAACAACAAAAAAACAACAACAAAAAACAAACAACCAATAATTGTGTTTGCCCTTGGAGCACTGGCTTTTATTTCAAAGCCAGAAACGTTTTTCTTTTCTTGCATTAAATTTAGACTTTCAAACAGATTAAAATAGATTTATCTGAAATTGATTGTTTTAAATTGATGACTTCTTTCAGATTTAAAGTAATGCAAATTCGTATCAGGACACTGATCTCTGTGCGGATTGATTCTTGTTAGTGCAAAATTTTAAGGAAGAAAATTTGTCTTCCCTTATCAGCTACAATCTTTGTCTTCACACCGCTCTGTTTAAACACGAAAATTGTATCAATATTAAGCGTACTTACATCAATATTCAAATCTGAAAATAGAAAGAAAATGATTAATAGAATATCATTTCCAAATACATGTAATATCACATATATACTTCAATCAATAAAATTCACAACTTCAACATTTTAAAGAATAGTGTGAATATATTAAGTATGTATCACGTTTTGTTGTTGTTTTTTGTGTTGTTTTTTACTTGTTTTGTTGTTTTGATTTTTCTGTTACAGTTTATTCTATTTATGAAATGTTATGAAAATGGCAACATTTCTCAATCGCCCGAGGGTAAGCACAAAAATCATTGTTCTTGCTTTGGCGTCATATGACCTATTCTGTGTTACTGCATCGTAAAAACAAAACGACAGGTTTATTTGAGATTTTTACCCTATTATTCTTCAGATAAATAATGACACTTTACTTGATTTATCAAAGATATTGTATTTGATTTTGAGTTAGACGTCAATCTAATTTATTATTTAAACACTTGAATCTTAGGTTAACACTACTATTTTTATGTGAAAGGCTATCATAAAGCTGTTATGAATTATTATGAAATTGGGAATTGTTATTCTTGACACTTAAGTAACTTTTTTTTTAAAAAAGATAAAAACAAAAACCATTAAATATTTTTTAAACGAAGTTGGCATTATTATTACCTACATTTAATTGGTTGGTTTTTAATACATGTATGTACAACAAACCCGTTGTGTACTTAAGTAATTGAATACATCTGATTACTTGTGTTTATATAATAAGTTACTGTAATTAATCTGCAACTAACAGATGATTTCAATTATTGTAACTGATTCCCCTTATCTAGCGAGCACGATTGAAAAAGGATTCATTCTTGTTAATTTCGTTTTTTAGGATTTAATCGTTGTGTTTCCAAATGTTTGACATACCTGGAAAAATATTTTGTTTTTCCTTTGCAGCCTTACATTCTGCAACAGAACACGCAATTGTACCGTCGAACTGCATTGATTGCAGTAAAAAACATGTTTACTGTTTGATATGCTGAAGTTATTATATTCTAGTTTTTACATAATTCTTTATTGTATAAGCCATATAGTCAATACAATACAAATAGAATATTAACATACAATTGATTTATATGGTGACTAATGATTTTACACTTTTTTAATCTGTCGAAGAAAGAAAAATAGATTTATTTCATTTCGTCTGCTTTCTGACAGATTGGTTAAGTTCCTTTAGTCAATATCGTTTCTCTGTCTGCGAACAATAACATTAATTTCATGTTTTACAATTGAAAGTAGACAACGTTGTTCCTTAACTTTACGATCTTATCACAGAAAAACTAGTTGTTCTCTCTTGCTTACAAAATTGAAGTCAAGAACTTTATTCTGAAATTTTGTTTTTGTCTACGACCTGTCACATAAATGTTGTTGCATTTAATTTACTTCTTTTTTTGGGGAATGGTATATAAAGAAAGTTATTGAAGCGTGGTGCTGTTCAAGATATATATCTGTATTGGCATAGCGTAATTTTTTATGTTTTTATTACTAAACCTGACATAGATTTTTAGATCAACTAATTGGTACAAAAACTAATAATCAAATATATTGTTTCGCGCCGTTTTGGGTATAGTTAACTGGTTTTGAAATCAGTTTGTGAGTGTAAATGTAATCATTTCTTTATTTGGGTACCTCAATTAAAGACACAAGGCAACAGCATCAACATATTCAAACGCGATGAAGATGACCGGTTTGTCAAATGAAGGTTTTATGACAACGTAAGATAAATAATATTTAATAATAGTTGTAGTAAAGCAACACTGGATGTTACTCATTATGTTGCCATGATGTTTGTCAAATTGTAAACGGCTTTACACGAATTAACGATTATTGGTATCGACGGCGAAAGGTTTGACAGTGTTTTTTTTGTGTGTTTGTTTGTTTCCTTTCCCTGTTATCACATTAATTAACACCCATAAAAATGAGCCAATCATTGAGCATGCTCTGCAGGTGTAGGTAACTCCAGTTAACGTACTGTGCATGCATATGTATACGATTAAACTCTGACAAATTTTCAACAGAGAGGTCCCCCAAACAATGATATAATAATACCAAAATGATTTCGGCTTCAACTATCGTCCATCAAATTTTTATTACAACCATAACATAACCACGAACAGAACCAGCACACAACCATAACCATTACAAAACAATCATGCATTGTCTTTGTATCTGATTTTCGTATAATAATAATTGATTATTCCTTAAAATTGGAGTTTTGAAAATGATAAAACCATTGTTACTATTGAGTGTATAAAGAGCAAAAAAATTGTATACATCTTACATCTATACATAAACAAAAAATATAACACAATAACACAGCTATAAAAAAGCAGTAATATTTCATTTTATTCAAAACCATCAGATAGTTTAGATTTTTTTTATACGAAACAATTTACATGATTGTATTTATATTATTAATTTTATTTTAATGCTAGTCTTTCATTTATTTATTTTATCCATAACTGTCCAACAGTCAAAGTGTTTTACAATATTTCTACAAAAAAATGTCAAGGCGGACATATGTATTACATGTATAAAGTTTTAGACAAAGAAAACAAACATTATTCATTTCACAAAACTTTATTGAAAAATTTCTATTATCTTGTCTACGAAAAAAGTAATTTGTTGGCATGATTAAAGAGGTGTTTACTTTAGAAGAAAGCTGTGTTACAATTCTTTCTTATCTCTGAGACAGATATTTTATGGAAAAATGACCGTTTCTCTATAAAATCATTGAAAATATTATATTTTAAATAGTTTGTTAAATGGTTTAAATCTCTTAGATACATTGCAAATTTGATACAATATGCAACATGTTTGAACAAGAAGAATGAAATGTTTAAGCTGAATGTTTTATTTTCCTATACTATACCTTACTCCACTTTTGCATTATTTTAATGTGAAGCAGTAGGATCGAAAATAGTAAGAGAATATTTCACATGTCGTGAAATGCATTTTTGTACTTCAGGTTTGACCTACATCTGGATGATTTGTCAATTATATGATTCAATAATAAAGAGGAACATTAGAGTTTGTAGAAAACAGATTAATTTCGATGATATTTGCAAGAAAATTGAGATGCGCTCATACTTCATAATGCACCCTCTTTGCATTAAAATATAATACAGTGTTCAGAAATCACGCAGAGAAGTTAAAGATTATTTCTAAACACGTAACATGCATGTAACATTTAAAAAATGTTTACGAGGTACACAAATGAGCTACATAGTTATTTCGACAACATGTTAAATTTGTTGATTAAGAAGGGAAGAAAACAAGGGTAGTTTAAATTCGATTAGATAGATTGTAGTAAATATTGAGATGTTTGTATTTCTCTAATGATTTAAAAATACAATCTGATAAATTCGATGCATCTTCTGATCAAATTTTGTTCGAGTTTAAAGCCCACATTGATATAATCATTTGAATCACTTACAAGAATTATGAATCCTAAGATCATTTGTGGGATTGCTGCTGATCAAAAATCAACGTTCTTAAAAGCTGATCAAAACACATTATTATTAAAGTTGACCAAGAAAAGAGATAGAAAAGTGCAAATATTAAGAATACGTTATAAACATAAATTAGATTTAAAGGGAGCAGTTGAGCAATTTTCCAACATAAATAGGAGAAACACTAAACCTTAACAACCTAGGATCAACCATTCATCTAATGACTACATGTAACTATATTACACCTTCCGGTTTCACAACAAAAGGTAGATTTGATAAATGAATTTAAGCTAATACATGAATATAACTTTTTCTACAAATGATATATGATTGTGCCATGATAAGTGGAACAAACCTTTAAGTAAAAAGTAATTAACAGAGGTATATAATTATAATAAGTAAATGAGATAAAGAAACCTTCTCAATGAATACACACTTTGTCTTTGCTATGCTCAACCGATGATATCATACAACAATTTTTCTATTTTATCTTTTATATTTCAATCCGGAAATACATTAAATCTCTCATTGCAATATAGTCCTTTCCCATAACTAAGTTGCCTCCCTTGACGAGTTATCGTTATTTGTTCCGTATGCGCATGCTCAGAAATTTTTTTCACTTCCGGGGACTATTTGTTTACCTTGTTCACACTCGACTGAGTAGCTCACAAATCAGCTGATTAAAAATGAAACCAAAGAAGAAATCGTTGAAGTACTGTTGTGCTTGTAAGGGAATCTATCGAGGAAAAGGAATTGACGGCAGAACAGTGTCCCTGCATCGTTTTCCTCAGAATAAACGTACTAAACGTGTGTGGATTCAAAGATGTCGGACGGTATTGAAAAGTTTTCAGTGGAATGAAAACCGACTGCTATGTAGTGAACATTTTGTTGAGCGCAGGGGGCCGTCCATGTTACATACTCTTCCAACAATATTTCCAACTGCTTCTGGAACTGACAAAATCTTTCCAACCTCGATAGGCTACGTTCATTCATTTTTTATCGTGAGCGACATTTGATTTTAAATGCTATTTACAAATGACCAAGTTTCGGTAAAATTTCCCTTTAGAGGAAGTAATACGGGTTTATTTATCAAATATATCATACACTCTCCGACAGGTTTCAAATAAATGGAAAAGAGGCAGTTAAGCCCCCAGGCAGTTTTTGACTCTCACTTGTAAACATTTAAAAATATTTAATTGTACTGTAATGCACTCCGAAATTGTTTTCATTTTCTTATGTTATTTTTTTTAACTAAACCAAACAAATGTAGCATGTTAATATAAGCTACTACTTATAATATGTTTTCAAGTTCAACTTATATGTCATGTTAGTGTGTAATATTGTGTTTATTATTTTTTAGAGTCTGAATGAGAATGAACAAGATGAGATTGAGCATGAAATCCTTTACACTGCAACACCGGTTGACATGGATCTTATGAATCTCCAAGCAGAATGTGAAGTCCAGACAGAATGTGAAGAACCTGGTTCTTTCATTCAGGAATGCAACCAGTCGTGCCTTGATGTGTCGCTAAATTTTCATGACTACACATGTGAACCAGTACCAACGCCAAGTGCAGTAAGGTAAACACAAAACTAGTTTTCCCTTTATTTACACTGTTGATGAAATTTGTTTCCCAACTCTTATTTGTTACCATGCTAGAATTAATCAATTAAAACAGCATTCACTGTAAAAAATGTATAGAAATCATTGAGTCTGTCTTGTTATTATAAGGGGAGATGTATAAATGACAGGAAAGCTCAGTCTGTAGGTTACAAGATGGGAAATTGTATTCCGAGGGTCCTGGGTTTGATCCATGGTCTACTTGTATGTTAAGTGAGCTCTTAGATTTGTTAGGCATAAAATCTTTATTCAAAGAGCTACTTGTTTAATCATTCATTTTCTGTAATTGCAACAGAATATTGAATTTAAAAGAAATACACTGTTTCTGCAGCTTTAAGTATCACTTGTTCAATCTTTACATTAAATTGTCTACATTTTAGGATGATTGAAACACAGACGTAAACACAGATGGTGACAACAAGCACACAGACCGAGTCAGTGCGGACTTGTCGAAGTATAGGGACACAGACTGAAGTTGAGTTGAAAGACACCGCAGAACAGACAGTGTTACCCTTTTTAGTGTTTGAAGATGTAATGGACAATCCATCCAAGTTAAACTTTTATACAGGTATACCTAATAAAGGGACATTTAATGCATTATTCGAGGAAATGACAGATGTGCGAGAGCAGTCCAAAACACCAAGTGGAGGCTGTCCGAATTCTCTTCGACTTATTGATGAATTTTTTATGGTCCTGATGAGATTGAGATTAGGTCTGTTAGTGGATGATTTAGCTGCAAGAATCTGCATTTCATCTACTGCTTGCAGTAGATTGCTTAACAAATGGATAGACTATTTAGATGTGAAGTTAAACTTTTTAATAACGTGGCCATCAAAGCAGGTAGTGCAAGCAAATATGCCAAAACTTTTTAGGGACAAATTTCAGGATACCAGGGTAATTATTGATTGCACAGAAATAAGAACGGAAACATCCAGTTCCTTACAGTTGAAATCCATGATGTATAGTGACTATAAATCGCACAATACATGGAAATCTCTAGTTGGGATTAGTCCTTCTGGCCATGTTACTTTTGTGTCGGACTTATGGGTTGGATCAATTAGTGATAAACAATTGACAAAAAAATGTGGAATTATTGATTTGTGCGAAGAAGGAGATTCAATAATGGCTGACAAAGGCTTCACCATTTCGGACTTGACAACACCTAAAGGAATCAAACTTATAATGCCCCCATTTAAACGTTCTAATTGTAAATTTTCAAAGAGGGAAGTGCAACAAACAAGAGATATTGCCAACGCAAGAATACATGTCGAAAGGCAAATGGAACGCATCAAAAATTTCAGAATTGTTCAAGGTGTAATGCCTATAACTATGTCTACGCGTGCATCAAAAGTATGGAAACTGTGTACAAAATTAACAAATCTACAACCTCCTCTAGTCCCTCACTGAAATTCTGTAGTCCTAGTTACATTATGTGTAAACCGTTAGTTATGCCAAAATGTACACTGCTTATTATATGGGTGAACTCATTTGCTACCATCAGAGATTAGAATGTATATAATGTATATTTAATAATAATGTATATAATGTATATAATGTATAAAATGTTCAATGTTTTGAGACTGCTGATTTTAGTATCTAAAGCTAAATTATGTAAATGAATGAAGTCACATGTATGGTTTATGATTGTTCACTGTTCTCTTGTTTGAATAAATTTTGATACATTCAACATATTCTGATTTTTCTCTCTTTCATTTATTCAGAAACAAATCATGTTGCTTATATTTAAACCATTTTAAAGTCTGCTTCCTGGAACTGACCAGTACTGGTAACATAAACTGACAGTACAGGTGACACTGACCTTGGCTAAGCGACACTCTGACTGCATCCCTTGATTGTCAGATATTATTAAAAAGATGTCATATTGTCACATTTTCAAAATATAATATTGACCGATATTGTATGCATAATAAACAACAAAGAGAAAATCATTTGTTATAACAAACTTTATATGCAGTAATATACTCTTTGCAGCTAAAGCATCTAATAACTTGTAATATGATTGCTTCTCCTAAAGGATCAAACTAAACATACAGCTGAATTTATTCCTGTCATTAATTCAGTTAACATGTAGTTATAAATTATTATTTTCATCTGCCTTTAAATACAATAGTCTGACTACAGTGACAATTATCAAATATTATAATTTATTTCATGATGAAAATTATCAAATATTATTTCACTGTAAAAATTATCAAACATAATTTCACTGTGATAATTATAAAATATAATTTCACTTTCAACTGCACAGTATATCACATCATAATGATATTCCTCATATTATAATGATATTCCTCATTTTACACAGATTAAAATAATTACCTTAGAAAAACTTGTCTAAGGTAATTCCTTGAGCATTGAAATATCATACAATAATTTGAGTTTTGACTCTCATGGTATACTATTAGTTAAAAAAAATTGACAGGTTATAATCTGTTATTTGAAAATATTGAAACTTAAGCCCCTAGGCGAGGGTTATATTGCATATAACTGTATATATATGGTTGTGGGCCATATAACCTGTAAGAAATATTCATAATGCAGCAAGCATCTTTTTAGAGAAAAATGTGAGATTTCTTCATATATATTATATATAATATATATTATATATAGTTATATAGTGACAGCAGCAGTGTTGTATTATAAGTTATAAAGATTTTTGACAGGTTATATGGCCCTATATAAACTGTTGTTTGTAAATATAACCCGAGCCGCTAGGTGAGGGTCATATTGCAAACTTGTAACCCTTTATATCCGGCCATATAACCTGTCTGAAATATTTTTAACCAATTTATAATACAGCAAGCACCATTTTTAGAGGAATATAAAGCGAAATTTCTTTATAAATCAACAGCAGTTGTGTATATTAAACTAAATAAACGCCATGATTATCCATTGAAAAACAAAGTTACAAACATGCAGTATTATAAAACATTTAAAAGATATTCCTCATTTAACACATAACAGTTTATTGATATTCCTCATTGAATACAGTTCAAGTTCCTAAAAATGTATTTCTGTCCTCAATGAACACACTATGACATTTCTCAGTGAAAACTATAAGTATAGTATAAATTGTTACAACTGTACTTCTTGTTGATGATTGAACACTGCACTACAATGCTAGTCCTCGTTGATGATTGAACTACAATGGTATTCCACGTTGATCACGACAACTGAAGAGTTCTGGAATAAATGCTTTTAAATAGAAGTCATTCAAATGAGGCACCATATGATTTGTGAAAAATACCTTATCAGCAAAGATTCTTTCCACTGATATTCCAACACATGTCCAAACAACAAAATCGCACCACTTCCGTCCACTTATTCCAAGTTGCCCTTGAACCTGATAATAATAATTGTGAGTTTGTTTCAAAGTAACCTTTCCATCACGTAAAACACAAAAGAACTTTGAATCAGTTGCACACTCTTCTGGTGTTTTCATTCTCCAGCTTAAAGAAGATGGACATTTAATTTCAAGTAAACCATTGTGGCTTTCACAGTGAGTACAGTTAATATATCCATCTGGACTTGCCCCAAGATGGGGATAATCTGGTGTCACTAGCAGTCCACATTTTTTCACTGTAAGTCCAGGATGTGATTTTCTCATAAATCTTTCATAATGTTTTCTAGCCACATTTTCATGGCTCTTTCCATATTTTGTATGGATAGTATCAAATGTTCTGTAATTCAAAATGTCTTTCAATGTCGCATCTGGTTTTGTACATTTCTTTAATTTACAAATTCCAAAGTTTGATGCTGTTAGCCTCTCTTCTCTCGCAGTTGCCCATAAATCTGACCCACTTTGATTTCTAGTGAGACATTCAATACTGACACATTCACTTGATGTAATTTTCAATGAGTCAAAGTATGTACTAAAGAATTGTCTTTCCATTACTCCTTCCAGATTCACCTTATCACTATAGTTAAATTTTATGTCATGGAGTTTTGGAAAAAAATGTGATCTGATTTTAACTCAAAGTTCTTCAGCCACCCTGCATTTGAATTTAGACTTAGAAGCTTGTCCTTGAACTTTTGAACTTTTCAACATCTACTAGCTTTTTAATGTCATATACAGGAATTGGCAATTTTTTCCTAACACTTTCTTTACCATGAACTACCGTCTTAAATGTAAGGTCCTGTGTCTTTTTAGGTGTCAGTTTCCTCTTCCGTGGATTGCTTCATGTACATTTCATTGATGTGGGTGCCAATTTTCCATCCCGTTTCTTCTCGGTTATGTCTGCAATGGCATAAAGGAGGGCCGCGACATGGTTACAGCCTTCTCCTTCCCTAAATAAATCAAGAAATAATATATTTTATTTGATAAAAAATATTATTCACCTTAACTGAAACGTGAGGTTAAATTAGCAAGCAGCATGCTAATTTCATGAAAATTTTGAAAATATATTTTTACAAGTTAAATACTTTTAAGCAAACAAGAAAGTAATTTACACATTGCAAACAGCACTTACAATCCACGTAAATTACCAAAAGGCGGTCAATATATACATAAATACATCTTATTGCATTGGTAACGCAGTAGAAAGATAGTGATTGATGCTGCAAAATCAATAAATAATCGCACAAAACATGTAAATTATTTATTAAATATTGAAAACTTTCATTTAAGATCTTAAGTTAATAAAAAAAATTCTAAAAGACCAAATTTCTTGAAATAATTTTTACTCATCTAAGGTGTGTAACTTGAATGTGTTGTAATGAAATTTCCAAATTTCCCCACTTACAAGAAGTAATATACCTGTGAAATGGGCGACATTCCTAGTGCCAAAATGTATGATTGTAATTAAATTAATACTTAAATTTGAACTTGAATCTTATTATCTTTCATCTGTGTGGCAATATATATAAATAACAATTAATTTCATTGGACAAGACATGTATACAGATTAAATATATATATGTACATACCCGGCAGTGCAACTACATTCTGCGGAATTTATACATCCAGTCATCTTTGAGAGCATAACCCATACATTGTAGTCTGGACACTGTTTCTTATTTGTTGTTGGCATTGAAGGAATAGCTTTACATTTCACAAAACAGTGACTTTGGTTTTCATCTGTCTCATTTACCTGAAAAATAAATGTTTATCAATTTAAACACCAATTTCATGTTAATTTGATGATTATTTGTTTAAAACAATTCATCATACAATCATGCAGTAAGAATAATTAGTACATTGAACAGGACATTGATTTTCTCAAAAAATTACAATTTTATAGGAAGTCACAATCTATATAATGAGAGTCATGATATCTTTAGAAAATAGTACTGTCCTGAACTGTCAGTCAAAAGTTCTAACTGCATTTGAATCATGTACATCTAGCCTATTATATAAACGTAATCAAATACGCATTCTTTGAGACTAGTCATACCTTTTTTATTCAATAAATGCAATGATGAAGTAGTAAATTAAACGTCTTATAACTTTAATTTATTTACAAAAAAATGAACATAATTATTTTATTTTAATTTATTTTATAGACGATATACGTACGGTCATATTCCTAAATAAAAATAATATAAATTGAGATACAAAATAAAAATATTGAATAAAAATTCTAATTTCTTTGGAAATATATAAGACCAGGATTTTTTAATTCCCAAATTCATGGGTTTACAAGCCCGTTCCAGTTTCGAATTAATTCTACTATATATTTATTAAATTGCCTTAAAATTTTCACTTGCGCGAACTAAATTTTACTGGCCATGGGCCACCTGGCCAGTGCTGAATTCGATGACTGGGGTGCGAGTCATACTTCCCAAAATCCTGGAAAAACATCCAGTTAAGTTTTTTATGTTATAATTGTCAAAAATACTTTGTCATTATCTAAGTTCTAACTAACGCTAGTGTAACTACCGCTGGAAATTGTAGATTATAGATATGGGAAATTGACCCAAGGCCAAGGATGTGGCAATTAAAGTTTAAATCTGACTGACCCGGAAGCAATATTATGAAATCATGAAAAACTATTAAATCATATGAATAATAAAGATAACATATGGATTCATATTTTAAATTAATACAATGAAAAAATTTACCTGCACATTGTATACGTGTCTATCCTCATACATGACCTTCGACTTCAACTGACGTTTGGTGTTTAATTTATACACAAAATAATTATAAATGTCCTTTTCACTTAGATCTGGAATATTGGACAAATCATCACTCCAGCGATCTAAATAGGATGGATGAACAAGAGTTTCTCCTAATGGCGTGTTCAACCGCTCACATTCTCTTTTTCCGGTCCTACTAAACACTGCTAAGGACCGCTAAGGACTGCTAAGGACTGCTAAGGAGCCACAAAGGACTACTAGGGAGGCACAAAGGACCTTAAAATACCTCCTAGGGCATTCTTATAATACATGGTAGTATGTTTAGTGAAAAAAAAAAAAAAATTTAAGAAAAAATATTATTTTGGTGAAAATTTTATGAGTTGCCGGACTGCTAAGGACTGCTCAGATACACAAAAGACTGCTAGGGAGGCACAAAGGACCTTAAAATACGACCTAGGGCATTCTTGTAATACAAGGTAGGATGTTTAGTGACAAAAAATGTATTATTTTAAGAAAAAATATCATTTTAGTGATAAAATTTATGTTTTTGAAGAGTTGCCGGACCGCTAAGGACTGCTCAGGTGCACTAACAACTGCCAGGGAGGCACAAAGGACCTTAAAATCCCTCCTAGAACATTTTTATAATATATGGTAGTAAGGTGATAGACAAAAATGTATTATTGTAAGAAAAAATATAATTTTAGTGATAGAATTTATGTTTTCGATGAGTTGCAGGACTGCTAAGGTGCACAAAGGACTGCTAAGGAGCCACAAAGGACCTTAAAATATTTCCTAGGGAGGCACAAAGGACCTTAAAATACCTGTGAGGGCATTCTTATAATACATGGTAGTATGTTTAGTAACAAAAAATGTATAATTTTAAGAAAAAATATAATTTTGGTGATATAATTTATGCTTTTGATGAGTTGCCCGACCGCTAAGGACTGCTCAGATACACAAAAGACTGCTAGGGAGGCACAATGGACCTTAAAATACCGCCTAGAACATTCTTATAATATATGGTAGTAAGTTAATGGACAAAAATGTATTATTGTAAGAAAAAATATAATTTTAGTGAAAGAATTTATGTTTTCGATGAGTTGCAGGACCACTCAGGACTGCTAGGGAGGTACAAAGAATCTTAAAATACCTCCTAGGGGCACAAAGGACTGCTAGGGAGGCACAAAGGACATTGATATACCTCCTAGGGCATTCTTATAATATATGGTGGGATGTTTATTGAGAAAAAATGTATAATTTTAAGAAAAAATAAAATTTTGCTGATAGAATTTATGTTTTTCGATGAGTTGCCAGACTGCTAAGGACTGCTCAGGTACACAAAAGACTATTAGCGAGGCACAAAGGACCTTAAAATCACTCCTAGAACATTCTTATAATATATGGTAGTATGTTTAGTGACAAAAAATGTATTATTTTAAGAAAAAATATAATTTTTGTGATAGAATTTATGTTTTCGATGAGTTGCTGGACCGCTAAGGACTGCTCAGGTGCACAAAGGACTGCTAGGGAGGCACAAAGGACCTTATATTACTTCCTAGGGCATTATTAATATATATTGTAGTAAGTTAATAGATAAAAAATGTATAATGTTAAGAAAAAATATAATTTTCCTGATAGAATTTATGTCTTTGATGAGTTGCAGGACCGCTAAGGATTGGTAGGGAGGCACAAAGGACCTTAAAATACCTCCTAGGGGCACCAAGGACAACTAGGGAGGCACAAAGGACCTTAAAGTACCTCCTAAAGCATTGTTTTAATACATGTTAGTATGTTTAATGACAAAAAATGCATAATTTAAAAAAAAAATTAAATTTTGGTGATAGAATTATGCTTTTGATGAGTTGCAGGACAGCTAAGGACTGCTAGGGAGGCACAAAGGACTGCTAGGGAGGCACAAAGGACCTTAAAATACCTCCTAGGGCATTCTTGTAATATATGGTAGTATATTTTAATGACAAAAAATGTATTATTCTAAGAAAAAATATAATTTTAGTGATAGAATTTATGCTTTCGATGAGTTGCCGGACCGCTAATTGGACCGCTAGGGAGGCACAAAGGGTGTTAAAGAACCTCCAAAGAAATTCTTGTAATATATGGTAGTATGTTTAATGACAAAAAATGTATTACTTTAAGAAAAAATAAAATTTTGGTGATAGAATTTATGTTTTCGATTAGTTGCTGGACCACTTAGGACTGCTAAGGTGCACAAAGAACTGCTAGGGAGGCACAAAAGACCTTAAATTAATAATAATTAGAGTGTAATAATTCTATTTAATTTTGTTTAGTGATCTTTCTTTTTTTTAATGTATTTTGGTGTTGATTTTTATGTTTTGGATGAGTAACAGGACTGCATAGGATGTGAAAATTGACTAGGTCTTTAAGTAAATGCTCTTATGTTAAGTGGTAATCAAATGTATAAAGAATATCACTGTAGTGAATGAAATTATATTATGAAGAATTGAAAGACAGAACAATTTTAAGTTCAAAGGAAATCAGATGTAATAAATGATCAAATAAATAAATTTACCATGTTACTGGTGCTTATTGATAGTCTAACTATGAAAATGTTACAAAAATTGCCATTTTCTCCGGCAATTATGTAACAGTTGTCTCTAACATCCGTCCCTATCATCAGTCACGACAAAACCAACATAGTGCGTTTGTGACCAGCATGGATCCAGACCAGTCTGCGTTTCCGCGCAGTCTGATCAGGATCCATGCTGTTCGCTATCAATTTCTCTACTTGTAATAGGGTTTGTAAGCAAACAGCATGGATCCTGATCAGACTGTGCGGATGCGCAGGCTGGTCTGGATCCATGCTGGTCGCAAAGCCATTATGTTGGTTTTGTCATGACGCGGCTCATATGGTGCTTACTAAATCTCACAAAGGGAGTTTTATGCTAAATCTCCAAAGCGACTGATATTATTTTTTTCTACAAAAATTATTTACATGAAATAGATTATATGTTACTCTAACCTTCAGCGGACCAACAATTTATCAACATAATATAAAGCTAAAATGAATTTCGGACAAATATAAATATATATATGAGCTGCGTCATGACAAAACTAACATAATGGGTTTACGACCAGCATGGATCCAGACCAGCCTGCGCATCCGTGCAGTCTGATCAGGATCCATGCTGTTTGCTATCAATTTCTCTACTTGTAGTAGGGTTGGTAAGCGAACAGCATAGATCCTGATAAGACTGCGTGGATGCGCAGGCTGGTCTGGATCCATGCTGGTCGCAAACCCATTATGTTGGTTTTGTCATGACGCGGCTCATATGGTGCTTACTAAATCTCACAAAGGGAGTTTTATGCTAAATCTCCAAAGCGACTGATATTATTTTTTTCTACAAAAATTATTTACATGAAATAGATTATATGTTACTCCTACCTTCAGCGGACCAACAATTTATCAACATAATATAAAGCTAAAATGAATTTCGGACAAATATAAATATATATATGAGCTGCGTCATGACAAAACTAACATAATGGGTTTACAACCAGCATGGATCCAGACCAGCCTGCGCATCCGCGCAGTCTGATCAGGATCCATGCTGTTTGCTATCAATTTCTCTACTTGTAGTAGGGTTGGTAAGCGAACAGCATAGATCCTGATCAGACTGCGTGGATGCGCAGGCTGGTCTGCATCCATGCTGGTCGCAAACCCATTATGTTGGTTTTGTCATGACGCGGCTCATATATATTTTTTGTTTTTTGTGTTTTCAAAATAAGGTACTGAAGTGGACAGATGTAACAGAAATGAGCAAATGATTCTTTTTTAATTTTACAATAACACTAAACTTATCTTGTTCTTATGTTGTGTGATATGGAAGTAGTTAGCTTTGCAACTGTATATAGAAATACTTCACACTAAAATCAAAAGAATAATCTTAACAAAATAATCTCATCAGGATATATATTCACAGAAAACTATTGAAATAGGATATATAGAATGTTGAAGTGACATTGTGGTTAAAATTAGTCAATTGTTAAAACATAGATTCTTTAAGATCATTCTTTTTACTTCATTAATAAACAAATCATCTATCCAGCCCCTCATAAAACAGTTGGATACAGACCAATTTCAGCCCTCATAAAACAGTGGGATATGGATCCTAACTATATATATACAGATGGGCTGGCACATTATTGGAAGTTTAACAAGCTGTATATTGGGAGCTGTGTATTGTATATTGGGATGTGTGATATATTACAAACCAGTGGGGGTGCCAATATAGGGTGATATACTTCAAAACAGTGGGAGGCACTTTCTGTTAGAGAATGCCTGTTATTAAGTAAGCTGCAGTAGATCAATTAAGTCTAATTAAGGATCTATTGAACATTATTTTTTTATTGGCCAAATATATAGTCAATGAAAAAAACAACCCAAAAAAACAAATATATTTCACCACCCTGAATAAAGTATTTGTCTCCATATTCCAGCACATTGTCATATCACTTGACCAATTTAATTATTATAAGAAATAGAAGAAGATCATAAGAAAAATGATTTTAATATATGGATATGACCTCAGTAATGAAAAAGTGATAATAATCAAAATTTGTTTGTAAGCAAAGTCCTAAAAAAATATTTTGAATCTGTAAATTTTAATGAATGATCAGCAGTCCATTTATACTGAAACATTAACATAGAGAACTATCAATACTGAGAAATAATGAACTTATAACACTGAATCATAATAACAGATAATAATGTTACTGACATTTCACATTAAAAACATAAAATTTCATCAATTGGTAGTAATTAATTACAACAATTTAAAAGCAGATCTGTAATTTTTTAAATGAAAATTTTATTTGTTGGTATTTAGTAATTAGAAAATCAAGCTTATGAAAACTTATAATTTACTTCAGTCTGTATAATATCTATTAAAAGAAAAATCTGATTATATCACTATATATTATTTTGTAAATATATATAGAAAGTTACTGTCTGTATGATAATTTTCTTTAACCCAATGGAAATACATTTTCTGAAATAAAGAATCTTCCTTTCATTATCAATGTTCTTATTCAATTCAGAACAGTTCATTCAAATGTCTATGCAACTTTTTCATTTTGAAATATAAAAAGAAAGAAACTCCTTGATCAAGGAGCTAAATTCTATATATTTTTCCTGAAATTTGTTCTA